TTGTATATGTTACTCTATTCAGTGCCCACCTATATTTAGTCAATATGGTTACATTCCTTGTTGCTGTCATATTCTACGTTGTAACTTGTTCATTTTGCCGCCGACGATAGGTATACTAGCCAAACAGGTGTTTGCGAGCCAGATCTCAACAATCTCGCCCTATAGCGTCGGGTCTGCTCCGTCGGCTATGCTAACTCAATAGATAAGAAAGGCAAAAATCCGCAGCACTTTTGAGGGTTGTCTTTTTGAAAAAAGAGAAAATAGGAAAAAAAAAACACAATTCGGCATATATTGATACAGCCTAGTTCAGGTTCAGCACCACTTATTAATAACTACTATATTTTAGCGTCAGCTACTTTTTCCCAATACATGACTAAGACAGTATCAATTTCGATCATACTGTGTATTGGTCTTAACGCGTGGATCTCCTGCGTAAGACGAGATGGGTAACTCCAGGTTTAGCCACGTCTGCAATAGCAAATCAGGGATTTTACCCCACCAATTCAAAACGTGACGTGTCCCAGCTGGATATCACCTTTCTCTGTCCAACTGGCAAGAATTGGGGATTTAAACTTTACCGCCACAAAAGTCAGCACCTTACTCCGCATATTCTTTAAAAGTAAACCTAGTCTGCAATATTTGACTACGACGATGGCTCCTGGCCAAAAACTGCCGGCATGGTATTGCCGCTTGGTCGCCCTCACCATCGAGAAGAAGCGAGACGTACGCCCAGAAGACTTCGATGAAGACCTCTCCGACATTGATGCGACACCAAAATACAATGGAGTAGGCAATAATCCCTCGGAATTGAATTGCGATTGCGACGGCGAAGACACGGAATGTGATTGTCAATCTTCGAACGATAGCGAGCATAGCTCGGAGAGATCATACAATGGATCGGATGCTGATTACTACTACGAACTCAAACACGAACGCGAAGAGCGGAAGCAGCAGTTACGCGATATGGAGGTGGAGGAAAAGGAAGAAAAGGAACGTTTGCGCGAATCTGAGAGCGTTAAGGAAGAGGAAGTACAGGCAGCCTATAAGTCTCTGCAACAAGCAGAGATCAGGGGATCCCTCCTATGCCCTCTCGACTCCATCGCTAGCAAGACTTTCCGCTTATATTCCCTTGACTATTTTGATTATCGTTACGATCCCGTCTACTATCCATCTAAATATGTTGAATTCTATTACATCGAAGAAGGCGACAGCACCTGTACGTATAAACAACCGCCTACCGAGGAAACGAAAATTCAGGGTCATTTGTACTTGAATGTCGATTGTGGTTGCGATTTTGCCTTATTCTCTCCTCCGAAGCAAGCAGGTCTTAAAAAATATAGCTTGAAGGATGTCGACGGAAATTTTGCGCCCATATTTCAGTTCATTAGCAACGATCACTTAATAGTGACTGTCTCTCGAGATCTAGTCTTCATGGATGTTCCTGTACCCCCGCTTGCACCGGATATGTTCACATTTCACGGCGTTCGTTATGATTACAAAGAGGAGAAACGTCGAAGGGACGAGGAAAGAAAACCCCAGCGCTCACCATCGCCTCGTGAGACTTGGTTTGAGATGAGCCATCCGATGGGAACATGGAACATTGGAGCATTGTGATAACGCATTGGTTGTGCTTCAACTAACTGCCTATCATGATTCCATAGGCGTAATCATCTCTCTGAGGCCCAAGTTCCTTGAACCTCGGTTGTCGATGGTCAGCTATTTGCTGTGGATGCGCCGTATTATAGGTGGAAATAGTTGACAAGAACACATTTTCTTCTTTTCTGTAATGGGAGAGGAGGCATCCCATGAAGGAAGCACTAGTAATGACTCTTGCTGCCCTAATTGACATCTAATACGAACACCCTTTAGGGCACAAGGCCAGAAGATGGCTACATCAGACACCACTGATGTCGTCATCTTGTAAAGCCCTCAATGGATTTAGCCTTCTACAGCACAAATATGGCAACCCACAGGCCTCCCTTTTCGTACTCCTATTGTTATTGTGCATTGGTATGTATCTAATATAGACACGCTTGAAGTCGTATCAGCTGTCATCTATAGTGAACACTCAAGGGGTGACGCGTGTCCTTGTAGCCATTTGCGGACAATTGCCTTGGGCACAAGTTTGAGTCAGCCATTTCCAGCTGCTGTTATGGAAGGGACTTCCATTGGACAATGGTGCACTGTGCCCCAGCTCCACCTGCCCAATTTGGACAGATCTCTTTCTTACGAATGCGGACGCTGAACCTGGACTTGGCTGTATCTATTAAAGAACCCATGACCGTATTCAGTATCTACATGCTATATATATCAACTTATTTTTAGGCTATTTTACGCGGCAAACCGCTCCATAAGGCGATTTAGTAAGCAGGTGCGTTGGAATTACTGATATATCTTCTAGCTTTCGTCTACTGTTAGAAATCGTTGGATGACTTTGCATGCGGTTGAAGACTCAATTTCATCAACAACCCTGGTACATAAAGGACCACCTTTTCCTATGGACATAGAATGTGGCTTCGCAACTGGACTGCAATCGTCATCGGCGATGCTTACGAGAGGATTGCAAATGCCGTAGGTTTCCGCGCTCGGGCAGCGTCAAGCCTCGACGGATCTGATGGCCTTGATTCGCACCCTTCCAACCTCTGTCTACCCGGGAAGCAGCGAGTGTTGGTCAACAGATGGAATGGTGTTCCTGATAGGGTTGTATTCAAAAGTCTCCAAGTTTGATATAACCAGGCACGTATAGAATAAAATTTGTGTATGAAGACTGAATAAATTCACAACGGGCTAACATACACTCTCACTACAATAGGCTACTAAGAGTAACGATACAATGGCCAGCCGTTCTGCACGGTAGGATGAAATAATGAATGCTATGGCGATGTGGACGGAACTTTTGAACGCACTAACACAAGCAAGGAGGGCGGCGAATGACAAAATATTACATAGTAGAAACTCTTCTAGCAAGTACCCCCAGTCGAGTACCTGGTCCAGAATTGTCGCCACCAGGTAGTCGGCAAGACGGTGTAACGCACCCTTACATTCAACTGAGACCGCAAATGCAACTTGAGAGCTCAGCTGAGACTTGCAGTACATCTTGGGAAATTAATTGGTTGGCGAGCCGCTCCCGGAGGCGCAGATCCGGCACGGCGCGTGATTGCCTCCTGACCAAAGCTTTGACACATTGGTTACCAGGTAATGTATTCGATGACGTTTACATTAGTTCAGCTACATGGCTATGATGAGCTCGTTATATAATAAAGAGCACTCTGCCCGAGCTATAAGTGCTAACGCCTCAAATCACAGCTGCAAACATTACTGATTCCAGCAATAGAAGGCATATTTACTCTTCAGCTTAAAATTCTGAGATCATTTCATCATCTTTGTGTAACAACATCGAAACAATGACTTACTTCATGCCCGAGACTTCTCAACAAGTAGGTAAACATGCGCTACTTGGAAGGAAAAACATACTCACATATTCTCCAGACAGAGAAAGATCGACTAAGTACAGTTCCACCATTATCATTACTAACATAAAGGCTGTGTAGCTAACTCTGGATCAGACTACCAGCATAACATGATGTTACACATTCTTGGTGGTAGACTGGGACAAGCACCAGCTGGCTCACAAGCTCAGGTTTTGGACGTGGCCACCGGGACAGGAATATGGGCCATGCAGTATGGTGCGTGCTTTACCACTTTTCGTCTACTTCTATATCTTCTCCCTGGGCTAATATTGAGAATAGCTGAGCAGCATCCCGAGTCAACAGTGCTCGGCGTTGATCTAAGTATCGCGAAACCGCAAGAGTTACTGCCAGAAAACTGCCAATTTCAGCAGCTCGACGCCGAGAATGGCGAGTAGCCGCCAACTCAATTTGACTACATCCACTTTGGACATGTGATCAGTTTCTTTGACGACACCAAAGCCGTGATGAAGAAAGCATTTGACCACATGCAACCCGGTGGCTGGATTGAGCTTCACGATCCTGAAATGCGAACTATTGCTAATGACGATTCTGTCAAAGGTACTGCTCTTGAAGAATGGGTTGAAATGACTGTCAAAGGCGGCAGAGCCGTTGGGCGAGATATGCTCAAGTCAGCTCACTATGAGGCCTGGCTCAATGAAACGGGCTTCGTCAATGTTCAAGACGCCAAGTTTCAGCTGCCAATCAACGAATGGCCAAAGAACCCCAACCTCAAGAAAGTCGGCGCCATATACAAACATAACATCTTGGAATTAGTTGAGAGTCTTACCAAATTCCTCACCCTGGCAGGGTTGTCCGACGCTGAGGCCGAGGATTTGAAGGAGCGTATGAGGAAGGACATTCACAATCCACAGATTCGCGCTGCCTTTCCACTGTAAGTCTGCTCATATTTCGCGTGACTCAAGCACCTGTTGTATATGGCTGACAGCAACTTATAATAGCCATGTTACGTATGCGCAAAAGCCGTTTGACGGCAGTTATGCGCACTTATAAGCGAGCTATAGCATAAGTCATATGGCGCCTTTGACTGTATTAACTGGCATTGGAGTCATTTTAGATAATACAGGTCGCTGTCACCGTATATATGCATCCTCTATGCAAGGCGAAACAGAACAGGTTGCTATCCAAGCAAAGTGATATTGGCAGCAATTGTCAACCCAGGTCAATTCCATACACAACCGATAAAAGGCGGATATGATAACATGACCTGATTTCTGGCCCACGTGAAACTGGGATCAATGTCTCAATCTTCTCACCGCGTTTCCCACTGCCCCTTAAACGTGCCGTGCCGTGCCTTGCCGTGCCGCCCTTCTCCCGCTTGAATAAATAGCTTGTGCCTTGTTTCTCCCTACCTTAGGTACTCTAATGTCAGACCCGCTGCAATGCAGCTCTTGGCGTCTCGTTCGTATCCGCCGCTGTTCTTTTGCCAGCAAGAATAAGGTAGTCACGTAGCCAACTTTAGGTTCGGCTTGGACTCCAGCCGGCTCATCGACCACGAAACGTTGTACCAATAATGACAACTAATGCAACCAAAGTATGTCAACCCACTAGCTTGTACAATTTGATATACTGGGAAACTTTGCAATTTTGTACGATCAAGGTCGATGTTGCGTAGATGCTAGTTGTGGAGACAACAGACACTGACTGAAATCTATCTCGCCGAGGCATGACCCACCACGACATGCCAGGACCTCGAGGCCAAGCAAGCAGACATTTCGATGCACTCAAGAAGATTTAGGAATCGGATGCCATTTGCTTCACAGGACTAATCGCCAAATACCAAGTCCCTGGTCATTTGCACAAATGTTTGATCCTCTGGTGGGCTGCACAGACTGGCGGCGCCATAATCATTATGGAAAGGGATGTGACGGACAAAAATTCGCTTGGACCTACTTTAATTTATACACTGCTCTCCCAGACATTCTTTTATACCATCCAGATCACCGACAGCAGCAGCAGCAGCGATGACAACAACACCACCAACACCGACAGCAACGACAGCAGCAGCAACAGCGACGAACACGCCGACGAAGAAGATGATGACGAAGACGAAGACGAAGACGAAGATGATGATGATGATGATTCTTTTGGTGTTGCTGCTGCTTTTCGCCGGAGCAGACAGCCCGGAACCACCCACCCCCAGTCGCGACTCCTCCAGGGACGGGGGCTGGCTTAACTACCACTATTTGTTAAGCCAGACCCTGTCCAACTACCTTCTTGTCGACCACAGAAGAAATAGCTATTTGGAACATGGATAAACTTTTCAACGCTCTGTTTAGTCCAGAGTCAGTGAATGAACACATTAGGATACGGGCAACAAGGCAGTACAAATCCAGTCCCCTTAAAAAGACATCTTTGCATGAAAGCGTGAATCGCAGTTTGGAACAACAGTCTCATATCTACGCCCACACTTCGCTTGCCCAATTATCTCTCGAGATGGGAGAGGTAGATGAATATCTCGACAAAGTCGTGCAAAATTGATTATAGCCTCCCAAAACTGCGATTGGATGATGACAGACGCCGATAAGGTAACAGAGAATCATCATCTGCTAGAACACGTCCGGGCGCAGATCAAGTTAACAGAAGCAGATTTTACACTTGTCTCTGTACTTGTAGATAGTGGTGCTCTGGCACAATCTTGACATTGTGAAGTAGCCGAGCAAGTCATGTCAACACAAAACAATACCAGACCGGATGACTTGGCTCTGAGGATCAACGGGCTGTCAAGGTTGGTGCTGCAAGATTGTATTCATTGCAAGTAGTGTGCCAGTTTCACACTGCATTTAACACGGTGATCCCATCTTCTCTAGCTCAGCCATTGGGTTCGACAGCCAAGGCTCTCACTGCTGCCGCACGACGGAAGAGAATATGGTACGCGGACAGTTGAGAGACTGCCAAAGACGACTCATCAACAGTCACATCTTCGGGTAGCTAATATTGCTGAGCAAAAGCCCATAGCAAGAGATCGAAGGACTTTGTTCTCATCTGTCCCGGATGCAGCCAGAGTGGTTTGGAATGGTTTGGTAGTATACCATGGTGGTGGTGCGACGGTATATATTGGCGTTTACTTCGACCCATTTTGATCAGAGACGGATTCATTAGACCCGCCCGAATTCTTTGAATTCAGTTTCTTTTCTTCGTCATGGATGCTAAGGCTTTGGATCACTATAGTGATATTTTCCATGATATTTCCCACAACTTCATCATTCGCTTCGATGGTCGTTTCACTTTCTTTTGCCTTGTGGCCTAATCAATCCTCTTTCGAGTCTGACTCAATGGTCTTATAATCTTCCGCACCAGGTGAGAGCACTCTGACTCTTTTAGTTCCATCAGATTGCGCCTTGGCCTTCCGCTTCTGCTTCATCTCATCTTCCCTCCTTCGCTTCTCATTCCATACAGGTTGCCAGGCGGTGCTCCTGAGAGCTTCGGCTGCACTTGGCCGCTGCTCTGGCTTCCAGGCAAGCATTTGGTGCAAAAGAGGAGCAAAAGGCCCCAACGAGGAAATTCGTTCAATCCGATACTGCACTTGTTCTTGCATATTTAAATAGTCGTGCTCGGTTGCAATCTTAAAATTATCCGGAGGTCGCATAAAGGTATAAAGCCATGAAGTAGCCAGCGCCCAGATGTCGAGTTTGGCCTCATCCAGGTCTGCTCTTGGTCTACCATTTATCTTTTCCCAAGCCTCAGGCGCGATACATATACTAGTTGCATCATACGGCTTTCTCCCCGTTTGACTCATAGAAAGTGACAGCACGGCCTTTTTTGTCGAAAGAGCCTTGGTGGTCGTATAAGATTTGTGTGTTGCGTTGGCCAATACAAGCAGTGAGCTGGGCCGGATATTCCCGTGGACGAGACCTTGTTCATGCATCGCAGAGAGACCAAGCAATGTCTGATGGAAATATGCAAGACGTATATCGCGTTCCAGCTTAGTCCAGGGAAAATCCAGAAAACTATATCTAGCGAGCGGAATCGAATAGAAGGTGTGCTGGCACTCATCGAGCATGTCGGTGTTGGACGCATTGAATAGGCACGGTGGAGAAGTCTGATGAGAACACCAGATATTGACAATATTCAAGATCCCACTGTCCATTGTATCTCTGCTCTGAAAAGCCATCTTCAGTCGTTCGACGACATACTGGCGTGTCTTGGACGTGTCTTTGTTTAACAGCTTCTTGACAGCAACCGGCTGTCCTGTATGAATGTCGACGCCTATGATGACGTTGGTGGTAGGGATCTTGTGGTGAAGCCAGATATTCCACGAAGTCTCGTGGTATGGGCTTGGCATCGGGATGAAGTTGAAAAGGCGTGAGGGGCTGAATCCGTGAAAGTCGCTCTTGATAGCCTTGTTCATATGAGCAGTAAACCTATCGAAATTCTGTCGGGTCTGTGTGGCGAATGTAAAGAGAAATCGATAGGGACCAAAATGGAGATAATTTCGCTCTCTCCGCAAGACGCAAGTCATTCCTTTTCCCCATTCATCCAATTGGAGTATCAGATCGTTGTCGTGCATATCGCCTTGCTCATAGATGATTGGTCGATTGCAAACCGTCCTGAGCATAAGGACGCCTGAAGTTGGGTGAAAGGTGATGTGGGCGTGGGAATCTTTGATGTAGTCACGAATTCTGCGAGACGCCGGCGTGTCGCCTGGAGTACAGAGAAGGATGTCTGGATTGGTGTAACCCAGGCCTTTATCGACCAAGGTTGGAGGTGCACCAGCACCAATATTCCACCGCACCATTTTAAAAGAATGTGAGCTGGCTTGGGAGTCGGAGGTTGAAGCGGAGCCAGTTTCATCTGAACTAGAGCTATCAGACGATAGAGGTAGTGATATGTGATAGCCGATGGCGTTTCCGCTGCTAATGAGATTTGGCGGTGACGCTTTAGCCTGGATGAGCTCGAGCAGCAGAACGGCTTCGTCGTTTGCAGCGCTGAAGGTGGCAAAAGGAATGCCACGCGGCATTGAGATTGAAGCAGCCGCCATGGCGCCTATTTATAATGATACGAGCGGCAACTCGGTAAGTTAATGATGGTGAAGCAACCTTGAAAGTTATCGCGCTCACGGGCGTCTTTGTGTGCCGCGTCTCCATTTGAGCCGCATCTCGTTGCTGACGCGATATCACGTGACTTTGAACACCTCGTTCCGCTAGCTCCAGCATCACGGATGACATCTCCTCTCATACTCAATCGTAACGAAACCCAGAGCCTTGATCGTGCTATTCCTGTACTTTGCCTATTGAAAATATGGCTAAGCGAAGATCCTCCGCAAGCGCTTCTTCCCCGCGTAAGAAGGCCCGGCTAGACCTGCCGACCGATACCCCGAGCCTAGAGATATCGACCGACGAAGGCGCATCTTTATTAACAACATCAACATCATCACCTCCAAGCCCCTCGCGACGCGAGAAACGGAAGAGAACAGACAGTGATCCTACCGATGGCTCATTAGAAGAGTCGGAGTCAGGCACCAGCGCGAAACGAGCCAGGACACAGAGCCCAGCTAGCGAAACGGAGCATTCACGCAAGCCAGGCTTTGAACCATGGCCAGAATGGCAAGATAATCCAGATTTCGTACCATGGCCGAGCGCTTTTGACGACCCACAGTCGGAAGCACATATATTTTATGAAGATGAACACTACACAAAGGAGCTAACTGCGGAGGCTCGTGAGTTTCGGAAGCAGGCTACTTTGGCGCTGCAGGGCTATTTGCTCTGCGAATGTGGAAAGTATCACCAAATGGATGGCCGAAAACCGTGGCATTATCCCGGGATGGAACCAGAGCTGGATGAATCAGATGAAGAACGGGTTCAGCCAGGTACTGGCTCGTCTCACCCAGGTCGCCGTCGAGAGCCGTTCCCAAGCCCAGAGCTTTCCGATGATGAAGAGGCAGATGCAACTGGGGGCGATCAACTCGAAATCATGCCTGTCAGTGCTTCCGAACCATCATTGGCTTCGTCAGTCTCGCCAGCTTCTGTCATTTCAGGAGCATCAAATGTCTCTCCTACCAATTCACCCGCCACTTCGCCTGTCTCTTCATCTACAACCACTGAAGCTCAAGTTTCACGTCAACGTAGCAACACGAAGCGCAGTGCCAGAAAGCTGGCCTCACAGCGCCAGACACGGAAAAAAAACAAGAGAAAGCTGCAGAGGGGGAATGCAGATAAAAGCGACAAGCGCCAGCCTCGTGGTCGGAAATCGAAGACTACGTCGACAATTGAAGAGCCCGTTGAGTCACGACGATCATCTAGGAGAGCTGCAGGTTCTCAGCTGTGGTTTTTGGACAACAACGGCGAAGCTTGCTTGGTGGCGTCTTCGTCAAGGTAAAAGTCACGCTCACACATTTTAGGGAAATTTTAGAAACTTGAGCACCAGTCGGACTGAGGAGGCATGCCCGTTAACCTGGCAGGGCTGGGGGCAGCGGGCAGCTTTTTCCTGCAGCATACACCGACTACCAGCTAGCGCTCCACGATGCAACATCTGCATCTTCTATTCAGACATGGTCGTTAATCTGACAGGGTCGGAGGCAGCGGCGCAGTTTGAGAGTTGACCGCAGAAGTTGGATCCAGGACAGGCTGGTTTTGAAGACATGGTCGTTATTCTGGCAGGGCTGGATGCAGCGGCGTAGTCTTTGGAGGGCTCAAGAATAACATTTCCTTGAGACGTATATTGTTTGGGTCTTGGTTTACAAATACGCCTGGGACAGCGTCGGCGTCATGGAAAATTATTGTCTGTTTTATTTATTTAGCAGGATGATACCCTTTTGTTTATTGGGTAGCGGATATAATATCGGAGTTTCAATGAAGTCACTTTGTCAAGTCCCACAGAGCATTATATATACCTAGTGTTAAACATCAGTAGCAGCAGTAGCAGCACCTTCATCCCATGAAAGCTGTGGATACTTGGCAGATTGCACCCGATTTACATCGTAATGCAAGTGCAGTAGAAGGCCAGGGAAACGTCGCAAGATTATGCTTATTTGTCAAAAATAAGCATGGGAAATAAGCCAGCTCTCTAATTCTGAAAATAAACCACCAAATCCAAACCCGGATATGCCATCCTTGCTGTCTATGTTAATCTGTTATAAATTGCTGCTGATTCTCTTCTAATCCTTTATTCAACTTCTCACAGTATATTTCACAGTACGTATCAGCCGACAAGGGTATTCAGGCACATTCTAACTAAAAATGGACTCTGCGTATAAGCCGTCAGCAAGTCAACCCGACACGGCTATCTCGTCTTCAACCGCGCAAAACAAGAATGTAATTCCAAAAGAAACAAAAAAACAAAAACATACAACAGCCGGTGTTCGCTGATGGTCACCAACTCAACTACTAATCTGCCGGTTAGTGGCTTGTCTATGGGGGAGCAGACGGGGCTTCCCAAGCGACAAACCTAGAGTTCAGTTCTGAGTTTATGTTGGCGGGGCGATCAGGGGATCTTCGGGCAATGTAAACAGTAATAATAACGCGCTGGGCTTTAACCCTCGGCACGGCAACTTCACATCAAGCTTGCCCCCCGACTTCATAGACGACGTGCTGCGGACGGTGTGCTCTAACATGAGTTGCGAAAACGACAACGCCGACATAGTCACGCCCGGCTACTTCCAAGGCTACTCCAACATCAAGAAGACGGTGCGGTTCAACCCACAGGATCTCCTCGCAAGCCAGGCCATTGCTACTGCCGCGCTGTCCCTGCCAGCCTCGGGACCGGGCATCACGCCCGCGGCGAAGAAGACGCAACAAAAGCTGCTAGACCAGTTGATGGGTGAAAATAGCCCGGAGGCCAGGTTTCGTACAATCCCCTTTGCGCGGGAAGCAAGCCGTCTTGAGCAGTGCATCGAGGAGGGTGAGTACGCATTCAGGATGGAGCAGGTCATCACCGTCTCCGTGTCGCAGCTGCTCCCAGACCACCGCACCATGCCCATGGTTCTGAGGCCGATGACGCAGCTGATCAGCTTCTTCCTCACAGCACAGAAGGAGTACACCCAGGTGCTCAGGGTGTTTGACCCCGAAGCATTTCCCGGGGTGCTGTGCGCATACGCCAGGCTCTTCGAGCTCATCGCGGCCTCGATGCTCGCCCAGTTCAAGCGTGGGGGGAAGGCAGGGCTCACGGTGGAGCTGGGAGAAGCCATGGCGGCCGTTGATCGACTGGGGAGCTTCTGCTTTACTGGCGACAAGAGGGTGCTACCAAGCACGACCTTCAGGTATCTGGGCACGATGGAGAGCATCAAGAACCATGCGTTCCCCTATATCGACCCGGGAAGGCTGAACATGGCCGGCCAGGGGAGGATGAATCTAAAGAACTGGCCTGGTGTGCAGGACCGCCGAGTGCACCTCCTACAGGCCGCGTCTCTACAGTACCACTACGGAAAGCAAGTGGCGGCAGGCCGGGAGTCTGAGGCCAGGGTGCAGCTTCTGTCACAGGATGCCTACGCTGCGGCGGAGTATATAGAGGAGGTCTTCCGGAATCACTTCGTGCCCGAGATGCGGCAGTTTTTCGCAGGGAGGATCCGGAGGCTTCTCCAGAAGCGGGGACGCAGAGTCGAACTCTCAGACGAGCAACGGGAAAAGCTCAAAAAGGGTCGCCTATGCCTTGATGACTGGGAGGCCGCGGGTCAGAACGGCACAGCCGCGTTCAGCTCCGAGTAAGTACAATTACCTAGATATCCAAGCATCATCCATACCACCATAGCAAAAGCCACTGCCGGGCGCTAAGCGGCAGCATATGCAGATGTAGAGAGCTAACCAGCAATATGTACGTAGGAGATTCAGCAGTATCGTAGCGGAAATCAACGACGTTCTAGATGAAGGGCAAGGCCAGCCGAAGGAGGCGATTACAAGTGACACTCTGGAGCAAGACAGATACGTCGACCACATCCTAGGAGCTCTCCAATCCAGCAGCGACAAGGCAATGGACAGGACCCTCAGCTCCATGAACATGACGTGGCTGGCCGTCCTGAGTGCTCTCTTCAGGCAGACGTACAGAAAGGGGAATCCGGAAAAGTCAACCGAGCAGTGGCGATATCACATCGGGTTGGCGCTCAGACGCAACCGCGTCGAATGGGTGCTGGGGAGCTCTCGCGGCACTATCACGGCGACGATCGCCTAAAGGGTACTGCCGTTAATGGAGAAGAGCTCGTTAGTCGGCTGGGCCATGAATCTATACCCTGGGAGTCTGAAGCGGAAAGCCGTCGAGTCGGAGATCGCGCGGGAGAGCAAAAGACATAGGGCCAAGGAGACCTGTATCGACTTCGGGTGCACGTTTCCTCTCAGCGGCGGTCTCCCAGACGGGCTCGAGCGCGGCTTCAAACAACTGCTGGAGAACTCGGGCCACATGAAGGTGCCTCGCGCGGGGCTCACCAACCACTACAAGAAAGCGCACCGCTTGCTGGAAGAGCTCCAGGCAAGGCCCGAGGTCGAGCTCCTCTGCATGCTGGCCCTGACGGTGGGCATGACATCAGATATGGTCGTGTACAACGTGCCCAGGGGAGGAGGCCAGGACGAAGTCGTCGGTTTCGCCATAGCCGGCAAGAAGGTCAAACAGAAGAGGGGGGGGACGCGGGCGGCCCTGCTGGCAATACGGATGCTGTGGTTCCTCGAGCCGGACCGGTTCGTATGGAACAAGGCCCAGGGACCGGAGAAGAAGGTGGAGGAGGAGACGATGTACAGCACGCAGTACGTGCGTGAGGCGACAGGTAAGCTCCAGAAGCTAGCCCTAAGCTACGTTAGAGACCAGGAAACGGTTGAATTAACGTTGGATCCTAATCCATAGACCAATACAAGATAACAAACAACATGCTCGCGACATTGGGCTGGATTAACAACAGGGACAATCAGCTAAATGCAAAGTCAGAGATGCTCCGTATAGCAAGCCCAGAAAGACTGCAAGCACGATTACGGCTACTGCGAAGTCTAATGAGCAGGCCGGCAGATTTCATCAGAGAGGTGTTCCAGAGCGACGATCCAAAGTGGGTTGATCAGTGCAAAACCATTATTAAATGAGAAGCCCAGGGCAAGGATGCTTATAGAGAGCATAAGTTAAACAGGCAAAATAAATTATATAAAGCCAGAGAGTAGAAGCCAAGCATATAGTAGGGCGGTTGGCTTCTATCCCAGTCTAGCTCCTGGAGCAGTCTCCTCTCGCTTCTAGCCCGTCTTTTGATGTGGGTTATTGTGGCAGTCCTGGAGGGTGCTGTCGGAAGCTCTGCGCCTTCCTTCGCGTCTGCTACCTCGTCGCCATGTATGTCCTTGTGCCAGGGGACCCAGGCCACTTTGGTAGGGACATTCGCTACTGCACTAGTATTAGGGTACACTACCACCATTAATCTTAATTTCTCGCATTAGGATACGAAAAATTCTTCCTGTAAATCACAGCTACTACGATGATCACCGAAACATGAGGCCTCTGCTTTCGCAAAACGCTATAAGGAAAACCTAGTATACATAGGGGAAAAGCCCATACTAAGGCCCATTGACATATCCCGAGAAGACTTGTAATAATCATTTGTAACATATTTGGGTTCATAGCTAAGCAGAAAACCTTGATACTTCCCTTGCGGTTGTACTTATACTGTTCATCAACGTTTCCAAGCGCTGCCTGACTTCACGATGACGGTGGTTGCCTTGATTCGGCGCCTAAACTAAAGGCCGAGAAATAGAACAATATGGTTGTCCGCTCTCGTCTTTAAGGCATGATGCCCACTCATTAGTGGTGATTTTCGTCCATGAGCCTGCCTTAACGACCTTCGAAACATTTTCGTGCAAGAAGTTCACTCTGTAGTCCCGGTCCAAGTATGTAAAGCTAATCAATTTCCAAGTCAGCGCTCCCAATTTGCACATTATTTCCCGAACCGCAGTGTCGGTGTTGCTTACCCATCAACGTCAACCCCAGAATTCCATCCGCCCTTTTCTTCCCCGTAGTTAAGGATTCCTCCGACGCAATGTTGGACGTCTGGAACTTCAACTGGTCCTCCGTCTTTATTCCAAACTAGGCAATATCAGTAACGTATCATTAATAAGATTGTATTTGAACTTACTGGGGCAAATCCCTGGTGCAACCCCGATGAACTCAGTCCAATGAACGGGCCATGGGCTATAGTTTTCAATACCTCCACACAAAGGACCAAGGCAACCGCCTACGATAGCAAGCGCTGGGAGGATACCTGCTCCAGACATTGGATTTAGTTTTTTTCAGATGGATCTACTCAAATTGTGTTCAATATATTGAAAACGTAGAGAATGTATGAGAAAGATTGAAAGGTCGGTATGGCTCCTGTATATTCCGACTAGGGTTGAAGTTGACTATTTAAATCAGGCCATTGGCAGCAGTCGCATGATGAGACCGCCCACAGGACATGTAAAGTTCACATCACGACCCGATTCGGTTCATCTTGGCAGATGTAGTTCACAAACAGGATGTGCAGCTCCGGATGCGGTTTTCTAAGTTTACTTGCGACGACGACGAGGAGTTCGTTAGATCGGCGGGTGCAGAAAACACCATCATGGCTGAGCGGCCCCACACCCTGCCTCTGAAAAGTGTGTGTCTAATGCCTGCAACTGAAAGCATCAAACCATCATGTGTAGCCTTGACGAGGGCTCATTTGGCCCAGCACAACATGTGTGACGGCCATTCCACTATACGCTGTGGCCCCGACTCGTCAAGGTAGGGTTAGGTAACTTGTTTTTCTGTCTCCAAGGCAGATGCACTAACTATGTATAAAATAGCTGTGCTGGTTTCTGTCTCCGGAAACAGATACATAAGCTTGCTCCACTTGACTTCTGAAGGTAAAAGCAACTCACTTACCGTTGTAAAAATTTCCCCATCGAAGAGTTAGCTTTACCGCTATAAACTCAAAAACGAGATTTGTGGATAAAAGGCAACAACATTCCTCATCAACCATCACCATAAAGCGGCTATTAATAGGCAAGGACACTGATAATAGTAAGACGAGGCCGTTGAAGAGGCAACGAACGGGCGGTGAAAAAAACCAGATTAGTGCGGCTCCAAATGCGACCTCTCGCAAACGCGTCGTGATCGAAGAGCTCTCATCGGCTTGGGCACTGGCAAGCCCACATTTGCTTGCAGTTGTAAAGCTTCCGCTGGGTGTTCTCTCTACACGTCGGAGCAAAGGGAAAAACCGGTCAGTTAACAAGGACCATATAGACAAGCTGCGCCGAAATTCATCAATAGATAGCATAAGTTAAACAGGCAAAGTTATTAATATATAAGCAGAAAGGTAGAAGCCAATTATGCTGCAAGATCCTTTTTATCTAAAAGTCCGGCATTTTAGATAAGAGTTATAAATAGCGCCTGAGCACCAGGTGGTATTTGTAAAAACAACAATCCACTCCACTAAAAGGTAAAAGGCGGTGCCTAGAAATCGGATGGGATAACGTTTCAATGGCGTTGATAATATTTACAACCGCGCCATGCTTGCCATTACAGGATGGACATCGAGAGTTCGCATGATCCACAAGCCTTCTTTGCATATGGCGTTGGAATTAGAAGCCAAAAAAGATATGGAGTTTATTTTCCACGAGGATACAGCGGAACAAATAAAAGTAATCATGGAAAAGGGCACTCGCTTTAAAATATTTAAGGCCTCCAAGTATAATCAGAAATTATTAAATTAATGGCTGCTAAAGCTGGCTATGTTATATCAGCTATATATTTAGTTCCTGATACCAAGTCCCGTACGTTGGCCAAATCAAACTTGACACTCGCTAACATTTATAGGTATTCACGTTCTAAGTTCCTATGAATTATATAATAAGTTGGGATGGCCCTAAAAATTGTCATGGCGGCTCCTGTTGATGTTCACTTTTCTCGGAAGGCTTGGGTTTAACAACAACAACAACAACAACAACAACAACAACAACAACAACAACAATAAGTATGTGAATTATTGAAGACATTGGAACAGAAGGTGATTGGTGAAATTTACAAGCATGTTTTCATACAAAGGCACTCAAGGGGCAGTTGTCAATCGAATGGTACGTGAGAATGGGTAAGAAAACAATCTTTTGGATTTGTCAAGGCACCAAAGGCTTAGATGTAGCTGCGATAGGAGGTGCAGTAAGGTTCTGATAATAATCTTATTTTCTTTGGGGGGATTCTCCTAAGCTTGTGAAGACTCGGAGGCATCCCCCCCGTCATACATACGCAAAACGTCTTATCTTCATTTCCAGCATCAGATGGAAGGCGTATCATGGAAACACACTTTCATTGCACCCTGCTCATGTTGGGTGTGTCCCTGCACTTGCTAGCGGTAATACACCATCGTCCAAGCGAACTGCCCTAATCGTGATCGGTCGGGCCCGACTGCTTGGCGCCGTCGTGATCTCCGGGTGTTCAGCATTGTATACCAGTGGTAAAGTTTTAAAAGGCGCAAACCTGCGCGCCAGAGAAATAAAGTCCTCATACTTGTTATCCCATACGAACATATAGTTAGGCCAGTACACCGAGTAAAAACTAAGTTCAGGCCAATCAGGATAAATTTCCTTGTAATCAGTCTCCACCTGGTCTCCGTTGACAATAACGGTGATGGGGTTGATAAATGGGGGGGAAGGCGGTCTTTCCATAGATGCGGTAAGGCGATACCGTTCACCAGCCTTCCAGCCAAAGACGTAGGCTAACTTCTTGGCCATGTTGAATAATACGATGTCCGCCGTAACGACAAAAGTAGCCGTCTCTGCAGCTCCTCCACGCTGCACAGCTGTGACTTGGACGGCGAAGAGCCTTCCGTGCCCGTAAGGCTCTTCCCCAAGAGTAGTCGGAGATATCGAATCCTCGACAAATATTCCTTCTGCCACAAGCCGCGTGCCGTGGTACATGCACCCGTTGCCGTCACGCAGCCCCCGCAGCCAATCACCCTTGTACGTCAAGCCCCCCGGATACTTCATGACGCCGTATCCATAAGGAGTGTTGTCCTTGAGATATCCCAAGTACTGCGTCTTGGATATTCTTTTGTCTTCATCAGCGTCGCTGCCGACCCCGTTATCGTACTCCAGTATACCCCATACATTGCCATCGCCCAGCACCAACCACTCAAGTTGATTCGTCGATTCTCGAAGGCCATATTGAATGGTCTTCGGGCTGGCGTCTTTGCGTGCTGCAGCAACTGCAGAGAGCACAGAACCCTGGTCATTGTCGATAGAGACCAAAGCCTTGTCCTTTGCTGGATCAGCGTAAAAGGACACGTATGTGGTTGTAAAGGCAGGAATAGAGGCATCACGCGAGACACCAAACTTAGAAATGGTCAAATCACTGTCCTCCTGGGTCCTCCAATCTCTGATGTCCTTTCCCAGATGTCGATATATATTGAGAAGGCTAGACATTTGCACATTCTCCGGGACAATCTCCACAACCAGTGTGCCGTTGAGGGGCCTCGCAGCTATCATGTCTTCCACCGTGTTTAGTGGGTATTGATACGCATCGGCTGTTTCCTTGAGCCGTCGTAACGCTCGCCACTGCAGCGTATCTTGCTCATACAACCCCCTGGCGCTGTCGTGGAGAGTCTGGTATTTGACCAGAAAATCGCTGACATGCTTAGGATCTGCCTTTTTATTGCGGTAGTCCTGGAGAAGCTGGCCTAAACCTGCACTCGCTTCTAACTGTAGGCTTCCCACTTCGCGCTGTCGGTCCTGGCATGTCTTGGAGAAAGTTGGGAACAGGCTACTGTACTTGGGGCTACTGGTAGTACTAGTAGCTGCTTCCTGTGAAGAATGCTCTAGTGGCGGATTCATGATCTCGAGATATAAAGACATGCGACTCTGTGCGAGTGAGGTGAGTTTATCGTAGAGAGCACGCAGCGCCACCATATCAGACTCATTGAGCTCACGAAAGATAATCTCCACCGAGATAGCATCGAAATAGCTCACAGGTGTCAGCGTCAATTCCACCGGAACGCCGTGTGTCTTATCGGGTGGCGGCACTGGGTCACTAGTAAAGTTGGGAAATCCCCTCTTTATTTTGTTCATCAATAAGGTAGGTTCGCGGCTCCTGTCATTGGGGGTCGCTGGAGGGGCGTCTGGATTAGGTTCTGTTGGGATAACTTCGTCCTCTGGATGAGGGTTAGGGTCGACATAGTCAGCCTCGAAGCTGGTGGATAGGTGAAATCCTTTGAGGTTATTCATTTCTTCATCGTCTACCTCGGCCTTGGCGTGGATGTCTCCAATCTTAGCAAAGTTGGACATGGTCCCGAGAGAGAATATTCCCTTAAGATTGTGGTTTTCGTTCTTCTGAGAATTCGTCTGCGTGATGCTTCCAACTAGGGTACCTCCATACGTGATGGCAGTCACCACGTGGGTAATTCCCCACGCTGCTAGGTCGTTTTGGTCAATGACAGCATGGTTTTGTAGATCCTTATCATTTATAATGAGCCGCTTATGGACCGTTCTCGCGTGCACTACGCCCGAGATTGTGATGGACTCCTCCTGGTCATCAGAGCGGTCCAGGTACGAGCCGAACCCCGTCAGTTTCAACGTTCCTGAACACACTGAAACAGACACGGAGGCCGATACATTAAGTAGATGGGCTCTTTCCTCGACGCTCTGGGCACTCTTGAATGCAACCTCTGTCTTGGGCATGGGCGTGGTAACAGTTGCGGCATCAATGTAGGCCCTGTTAAAGAAGTTCGGGCTGAGCAAGTTGCCTGTTGCACCCTGGTACACCTGGCCCAGAAACGCGTCACGTTTAAGGGCCGGTACTTGAAGGTCTCTGTCATTTGATGACATGGTTCGTGGCAAAACGTAATTGCCTATGTAGATATGATCTGGAAGGATTCACCGAGGAACTTCGATATATCCCGTGAGAGTCGGGTGGAACTGATCAGCCTCAGCATTATGATCAAGGATATCGTGGAGTACCTCTTCTATGTTTATATACGGGCTGGGTTGAGGTCATTAAAATGTCACTTCTCCCTAGTCAATAGTTAATATAATTAGAATTAGGAAATAGCGCAACCTAAGAACTTAAATTTCAAAGCCTCTCATACTTCGGCTGGAATTCCACATCCCCCGCTTTTGTACATCATCCAATGATAAGAAACATTCTTTAAATTTAAGCTCACGTCAAACGGTCAAGTGCCCAAGTTTAGCCAATCAAGACCCGTTAAGTCTAGAAAAGGTTGACAAACGTGAAACGGCTGGAACGGTGATCCGAACCTAGAAAACTGGTATCGGAGTTTCGTATAAGGCATATAAGATTCGTCCGTGGCTGTATGCTATCATTTGCGGTTGCGATGCAAGTTTCATACGGGATCGCCGCCAAGTACCATACTCGGAGGTTGTATGAGTGTTCAGTGTTAAGCGCTCGCCTACCGCCTTACCTGGAAACACCATTATTACCTTGTTTTACTTTCAATTTCGTGAATCCAAAATTTGGCAATGGCTACTGTTGCAGAAAAACAGCTTTTGGTCCAAGCAATGGGGCGGCCAAGCTTCCTCGGCCAACTCTACGATGCGCGCTCATCCCAGCTTCTCAACTATCCGCTTTTCCCAGCCAACAATATTGCCGACAGTACAGTGCAGGATGAAACGGGTTTAACAATCCACAAATACGAAAACGTCACAAATTCCAAACAACGATCAGAGCTACTTGATCTCAAGGCCTCCATGTCACTCACAGTTCTCGGCGGCGAAATCAAAGCTGACGGATCCGCCCATTTTGTCGATAGATCCGAGAGCTCAGAGAGCTCCACAGCTATCGCTGGAGTGGAGAAAAGAGGGTGGTATACCCGACGTCTAGATACTTCAGATGAGACACTCCAGCACTCAGTTGTCATGAAGCCTGCGATGAAGAAAGCTGGCGCTACACATGTCGTAACCGCCATTTCATACGGCGCCAACATGTTAGCGACTCTGAATGAGACAGAGAAGAGTAGATATGATAGCACAACCGTGGGAGGGAGCCTGAAGCTCGAGGTGCTGCAGAGCATTGGGCCATTTGGAGGAGCGACGGGTGAAACAGAACTTATCCTCGAAGACAGGAAGAAGCTGCACAAGCATGAGCTTGAGATCCATCTTGTAGCCGACTACTTGGACCCAGATACGATGGGGGCCAAAATACCAACCACGATGCTGGAGCTCTCGAGCAAGTTACGCAAAGCAAACTCTCTCCTAACAGTGCCCGTCCCCGTTCTCCTGACAATGTCGCCGTTATCACAGTTTTCCAAATTCTCGGTGGAGGCATTTTACCGGGAGCTCCACGAGGCTGTTCTCGAAAAAAGCCGTCAGCTTTTCGACGATCTACAGACTGTCAGTCAGGACGCAAACTTCCTGCTCCGGAGTGCATTGCGGTTATATCCAGAGCACTTCCCCAGCATGATTGCGTCATGTCAAAAGGCAGCGGCCGACCTAGTTTTACTCGTGGATGAGTATCGTGGCGATCTGGGCCGCTTCCTGCGTACCTCGAGGGATGGTAGCAGCCCGGAAACTGAAAATGGCGGAGATGGAGCATCCTCAACTGCAGCCTTCCTCCCGACCTGGACTGCGAAATATGAGGATGCTAAAAACCAACATGAGAACAATACGATTCTCATCAATCATTCGGAACGGATAAGCAACTATTGTGCCACGTATCAGCTTCCTCTCCAGTCGGCGTATGATATGTCCATCTTAATGGCAGCCAGTACCGCGCGCCAAATTGTGGTCGTAGTCATCCCCGAAGAGGTGAACGTATTAGGCCTTGAGAATTTCGGAAAGGACCTGGTCAATACGGTCAAATTACTCGAAAACATCAACACAAACCCTGATACTGGTATTGTATGCTGCTCCATTTATGCCGATAAGCTTTTGTTCAAGGAATTCCAGCAGCTCGATGGCCCGAGCAACACCATCTTGGAGGCCTGCAATCGAACACAGATGACGAAAAAGCCATGCATAGTATCCTATGGCATATCCTCAGTACTAGGCGACTCTGACTGGACGGCGGACCAAGGCCCGTCGTCTTGGGGCTCCAAGTACATGAAGGAGGATTTGGCAACGTACATTGGAGACCTGGACGAAGATGGTAAGCCTCATGGTTACGGCATAAAGAAGTACGTCGGGAACGAGGCGCATATTGGTACATGGTTCCACGGCGATCGAGATGGCCGTGGAAAGCATGTACGGCTTTCGGGCAGTAGTGGAGGGGAAATGGAGGAGCTCGAGAAGGGCGTTTGGGTGGACGATGTGCTGGAGGAATGGGGAGTCGTAGTCGATGTGACTGTCTACAGGTCCAACTCTGCAGGAAGTGACATCCCCATCGACAGCGCCACCACAGCCCTGGTATCACATCCACTCTACCCAAAAGGACAATCTGCAACACTAGGTGAGGCAGCAAGGCTCATACCAAGGCAGGTGAAGAAACTCGCTCGCGTCTTCAGCGACTGGAAGAGCCTCGATCTTCAACAACGAGGAGAGTCGATTTACTTCAACACAGTATGGGAAGTGCCGAAGGAAACGCAAATACAAGATGTAACCTTTATCTACGCGAATCAGTACGACATTAACCGCTCAGGGACCTGGGTGGACTTGGATACTGGTAACGTGGGTGTCCTGTGGGATAATGGTTTCTCATATGGCATTATCGGTAATTTGTCTATGAATCCTTGGCTTTTGGGGTATATTGATGCTGGGCCACCGTTGTCTGGAGTTGAACCCGTAAAAGATGCCTCGGGGCGGTCGAAGATTGATATTCGGGAGAGAGGCCAAAACATCATGGTTACTGCTAAAGTGACCCGGAAATGGGACCCCTTTAAACGATGATTCAAAAACAGAAAAATAACGAAAGAGAAAAAAAAAAACTTGTTCTTCGGAATGTTTTTTACCTTAGTTTCCACGCATCAATCGTCAAGAAAGGGAGTCTGTTCAGGTATTGATTGGCTGAAGGAGGTGTGTCTGATTCACCCTATAGCCCTGGACAAAACTTGGAGGAAGTTCCGTCAATCCGCTGTGACTATCACTCTTTGGTTCTAAATCGTGATCGTTTATCGTGAAATACATTGTGCTGCGATTGATTACAGTAACCCATAGGCTCGCTCCTTCTCCTAGGCAGGAATTAACTTCGGATTGTCAAACATATATTGTAAGCAAAATGTTATTCTATCCGAAAGTTAGGCTTTGCTACCTACCACTATAGAAAAAGCAAGATATTTCTAGATAAAAAGGTAGATTTTCTAACCTACTATAAGGCAGGTAAAAATAATCCTTTTAGTTTTTCATTTTTCTAATTAATGCATAATGTGCTTAGTTTAGCTAGTTTGGTAATATACACATAGGCTCTAGGGTTAGCTTTTTTCTTCCTTCTTTTGCTGAAAATAAGAAGGGGGGTGGAGACAGAATGTGGAGGCAGCCTACCCGGCACTGGCAGTTGGGGTTAAATGGGGTAAGGCAAGCAGGGGTCAGATAGGTATAAGAAGGCCAGCGCCCAGGTGCGCCCGGATTTTTAGAGGCTTGTTTTTTTTTACCTCTTCCCACTGCTTTTTCTTACAACCTTTTTCCGCAACTCTTCCCACAACTTTCTCCACAATTTTTTCCACAAGATTTCTTCCTGCCTCTTTAATATATTATTTTTTCCTATCGTTTTAATGCACCGTTGTTGTTTATTGCATTGATGCATTACATGTAATGCACTACCTTGATACACTGCCTTGATACACTGCCTTGATACACTGCCTTGATACACTCTGCCTTGATACACTGCCTTGATACACTGCCTTGATACACTCTGCCTTGATACACTGCCTTGATACACTGCCTTGATACACTACTCTAGAAATGCTGATGGAAACGGCGCCCGTTTCCATCTCTACGCCAATCACACACTACCATCTCAACCCCCTGTCAGGCCTCGGGAAACGAGGCCCGTTTATTATTTCGGTTTTTTTCCAGTTCCGGGTCCAACTGTAAACGGCGCCCGTTTCCCAACCGAGCCCCATAGCGCGGCCCAGTAAGAAGCATGTATTTCTTCCATATCAACCTCCCCTGCCTCTTCCCCAGCCCAGTAAACGGGCCTCATTTCCCCTTAACCCAAGCATTTCTCCCCCCCTTTCACCTTAACCCTAAGTTGCGTAAAGTAAAAAATAAAGTACATATATAATTACAGATTTGAATACAGCTGCTGCCTTTATTCCCCTTTCTTTATAACTGATTGGTTGACACCGCTCGCTTTCTCTCTAATCCAATCCATCCACGATAGACTGAAAGAGCTGGTGGGTGCACCACCCTCCCACCTTCATAAACCATATGGCTGAAGGTATAGAAGAAAAACTTCGCTCTTTTGGCCTGTATTACAACCAGCCGGAACCTGCTATTATATGTATCTCTTGCGGGTTTGCCCTCAAGACAAATACTGACAGAGTCTCACGACATCTCGGGGAGGCTCACGAAATAGCCCGCAAAGCCCGCCGGGGACTCAACCGGCTTGTCCAGTCGCTAAACTTACCAGACCCAGGTAAACTGCCACCGAGGCCTGATGGATCGGAGATACACCCCCATCTTGCATTGCAAAACGGCGCCGCCTGCAAGCATTGCCGCTTCCGATCAGTGAGCCGCAAGGTTCTTTCGCAACACCTAAGGCTAGAGCACAAGGATAAGATCAAGCAGCATTCATCAGCTAGAGGCGGCAGCTGGCTGCAAGATCACGTCCTCGAGCAGCTCCAGTTTCAGAGTTGGCTTGCCGGTGACATCTTGCACTCATGGCAGGTGAAGGCAAGCCCGCAGTCGGGGCAGTTGACTGTACCAAGCGGCACCATAGCCCCGGCCGAGGAGGTCTCTGTCCTTGTTCGGCAACGCGTGGAGGAACTCTACGCCCGAGAGCTGCAGTACCTATCTACGGACGCTAAGCATACCGCCGCCGCCGCCGCCGCCGCCGCCGATGACAACAGCGACGCATCCGCCGCAACAGCGGCCCTCATGTCAACGTGGATGCGACGCACAGGCTGGGCCGGCCTCATTCGAGAGGCACGCCGCGATCTCTTGGTTGCGCTCTCAGCCCTTCCCAGCTCACGCCTTGGTCCTCTCCAGCTGGTGGAGCATGATGGGAGAGCGCTTGTCAGCTGCAGGGAAGACGAGGACAGATTCAGCCTTATGGTGGCTGCTGTTGACCGGCTGTTCGACCGCTGCTGTGACACGGTGAGGCACACGGATGTCCCCATACGCCGCTGGCTTAGAGGTAGATTTGCCGACCGCCCATTCAAGGCGCCTTTCGAGCTAGTTGCAAGACCCGAGTCTGAGCGTAAGTACAGGCAGCTGATGAAGAGATGCCTGTGCTTCTGGCTCCGACTCTGGCGATTGCCCCAGAAGATTAGCCACACACTCACGCGTCGTAGCCTATCCGGCGAACAGAAGCGCATTCTGGGATCTCTATGGCGGGACCCGATATGGGAGAAGCCACTGCCGAAGGCGAGTAGTGATCTGAAGAGCAGCGGCTCCAACGTCGGCGCCCAGGCAGGATTGGATAACTACAGGGAGGCTTCAGCGTTCAGGGGTAATCCACCCAAGGAGAGAGGTGATGTTGACGAAGAAGGGGCTAGCGAGACTGGCTCTACCCTTAGCTGGTATAGTAGCGATGATGAGTATGGAACAGAGGAAGAGGAAGAGGAAGAGTGCGAGGATGATAATGATGACGATAACGATGACTATGAGGACGAGGATATAATAAAAAGCACCTGCGGCAATGAAAAAATGGGCGATAGGGGAGCTGACGACCCTGCAGCTGATGCCATATTACGCTTTCTCTATCTCTTGGCAACAGAGGACTTTACAGATGGCCAGTCCAGCTCCACTATGCTGGTTTACTTTAGTGCTGTATGCGGCCTCTCCCCCCCAGCTGGGGCAAACTTCCTTCGCCCTGCCCAGTATACAACGCACCTTTCTGGGCTTATTTATTGCACCCGACTCATCTTGTTCGAGGCTGTACTACCACGCATGGCACATAGCTATGTTGGAATCCCTGCTAGACCCCATAAAGGGCAGCTCGCTATTTTGCAGAGCCTCCGCCAAGAGAAGATGTGCGATGGGTGTTTATCGCCGCTGGGCGAGTTTCTCAGTCTCCTGGCGTTTGGTCAGGCCCTTCGCCAGTCGGAAGTGCCGGCCTTTATGTTTGAGTGGAGTGAAGATGGAGAGGAGATCTGCTGGGATGGAGACCAAAGGTTAACCATGACCGCCTTTCGCGGCCTCGTATGGGGAGTTCTCCAGGCCGCGATCAGGATATCCTGCCGCCTAATGTACAAGTGGAAGCCGCCTGCCCCAAACTTCAAGAACATCCACGACAGGCTCTCAAACTCGATTGCTGGCTATTCATTTGCCAACGACTCCCGGAACGAGCTCTCTGGCCTTTACCTGGAGCTTTTCAACCGGGCTTGCCTGGCCCCCATTGACGGCCTGATACAGGCACAGGGACGGGGGGAAGGGAGCTGGGATTTAAAAGTAATTACCTAGTACCTTGAATTACATGATGAGCTGCTTAAAACTATCATGCTGCTGGTTCACCTTAGCAGCGGCCAAGGCAGTAGGGTAACAGAGCTGCTGACCATAGGGCATGTAAACACTTCCTCAAGGATTCGGGGAGTCTGCTTTTATTCTGGGCGTATGTGCCTTATTACTCGCCATCACAAAGCGCGCTTGCGGACGAATAACGAGTTCCAGGTCGCGCGGTTTCTACCGGAGCCCGTCGCTTTAATCGTCTTCAACTACCTTGTCTTTATCAGGCCGCTTACTTACATGCTGCTGCGCACGTGCTTCCAGAAGAAGGTCGATAAAGGCCTGCTGTTCGCACCGGCGTCAAGCTCTAGCAGCTGGAAGCCAGCGGTTTTATCCAACACACTGCTGCACTTTTCCAAAGGCTCCCAAGGGGTTCCCGCGGGGCTTGGGGCCCAGCTCTACCGGCAGGTTTCTATAGCTATCACCGAGAGACACCTCCAAGCTGCTTCCCGGCAGTTTAACCGATATGACGAGATGGCAGTGGGAAGCAAGCCCGATGCTGTTTTTGCATGGCAGAGCGGCCACAGGCCCAGGCAACGATTCATCACATATGGGCTTGATGGCGCCTATCCGCACCAGCTGCAGCCTGCGCTACTTCAGCTATATATGCATGCATCCGAGCAATGGCACACCTTTCTCCGCCTGGGCGAGCAACAAAACACAGCTTATGAGAAATACGCTTCATCCAGCGCCGAGGACCATGCCGCTTCGAAAAGGCCCCTCGATAGCGGACCCTTGCCCTCAACATCGGCGTCGCCACGGCCTGCAAAGCGATTGTGCGACAGGCCACCGCTAACGGCCTCGCCAACGCTCCAACGGAACAATGGTCACGACACCGGCTCCGTCTGCGGTTCGCAGGGTGATGCGGCAATCACCACCAGCGCTGCCGAGCACGCAGAGACACAGGCGGGAGACGGCGATGGGGGCCCACCAGAAGCGGACTGCCTAGCACTCGAGGATGCCGTAAGCTCAGTGGATAGATATGGGCCGTTTGTCCATCTTCCAGAGCTTAGGCTGTTTGTCTGCTGCGAGTGCAAGTTCGCCGTTGTGATGGCTGAGGTGGTGACACACCTACGACACAGGAAGCATCGTCTGACGTTAGATCTGTCTCAAAGGCAAGCCATCTGGTCCAGCATGCAGCAGGTGGCGGACGTGATCCAGGACCAGACGGAAATGCAGAGATTCCAGTACCCACCGCCTACGACAAAGCCGATCCCGTTTATTCAGGCGCCGATGGAGGATGGTATGGGATGCAAGCAATGTGACGCTGTATACCGGCAGGTCCACAGGATACAAGACCACTGCCGCGAGGCACATGGCTGGGTCAACGATTGGAAGAAAGGCGGGCATGTAGCACTAAAAGCCAAAGAGCCGCGTGAAATACCTTGGAAAACGGGCGTGCGATGCCAGAGGCTCTTCTCATCACGGACTGGTAGCAGTTGGTTCGAGGTCGGTCGAGTAAGTGAAGTAGAGCAATAAGCTGCGTGTATCTAAGCCTAGTATTTATTGTTTTCGGCGGTTAGTAGACGGCAATTAATTCTACACGGCAGATTTTTTGGCGCTAGCAGGACAAGGGGTAACCGGCAATTATACAAGGGTTATAGTCGCCAATTGCCTAATATAGTAATATAATAAACCCAAGCCCCATAATAAGTTCGGTTAGGGTTGTGCCCAAGTAAAATGAACTTATACAACAGACCATTTCCCCAGAGCTTAGATCACCGGCTTCTTTATTCCATGGAATAAAATTGCCTACGATGGTAAGGCTCTGATCAACTCTAGTAGAGTTGATATTTAATTAACCCTTGTATGACCCACTATGGCAGGGGTAGAGTTGATTTGGAAGACTGGGGTAGAGTTGGTTTTATATCGATAAAGCATAACCCCTATGTGCTACATGTGCTGACTGTTTTCTTATCTTTGTGTATATATACCTCCGTACCAAAGCAACTCTCACTATATCTAATGATAAAAGCCAGATACATATATAATAATAGTTAATGCATTTGTTTTTCTATTATATAGAATGGACCCTTTTGTTTATTTACCTGCCTATCGGCTTGTTATCTGTCAACGATGTCGCTTTGCCTGTGTTGCTGATGAGACCGCCACACATCTGCAGAAGCGACACTTCGAAATTCCGCCTGCCGAGCGACGCAAAATCGTCAGTGCAGTCCAAGGAATTAATAAAATCATTCGCACGCAGGCTGATTGCCGAACTTGCCCTCATATTGCCTGCCAAATACAAAAGATACAGGCTCACTGCCGCGAGAAGCACGGCTGGATAAACCCACGGAAGAAAGGGCGGCAGCCAGCCGTGCAGCCATTGAGCCAAGATGAGGTGCTTTGGACAGAAGGTGTGCTGTGCCAACGATTCTTCCGATCGAGGGCGGCTAGTGGCTGGTTTGAATTCGGTCGCGGCCATACCCACCCTTCACAAACGAAGTGCGGTAGCCACCCAGACATGCCAAAAGGGAAACGGAAACAATTAACGGATGATGGAAAAAGTTCGGAATGCGCCGAGGCGGAAACACACCTTAATGCCGTTTTAACTAGAGAGAAACAACGCCTTGAGGAGAATACCCGACCGGCCATATACGACCAGTCGCAAAAAAACAATGCCTTTGCCTTATCAAATCCCTGGATGGATTGCACCCAGTGGGACCAAATATACAAGTGCACGCGGCGAGACATCTTGCAAGCCCTTATCCGAATTACCTGATCGCCACCATCTTACAAAGGATTATTTTATAGGTCAAAGATCATGCAAAAACAGGCCAGCTATCGTTAATTCAGACGTTGACGAGCAGAAGATATCATGTCTTCTTGGTGCATTGGATTGCCTCCTTGACAGATGCGAGGAAACCGTCCGGAACACCAGTCGCCACATACTATGCTGGCTTCAAAGCACAGGCCATCAACCTTGTAGCCGGAAGCCATTTTCCCTTCTCTCCAAGGTTGGTAGCAAGAAGCGATACCGCCGACTTTGGAAATGCTTAATAGCCTTTATAATTCGAAGGTATCGTGCTTTGGAGGACTTGGAAGAAGAGTTGACCAACGTCCCCCTTGGGCTGAAAGCGCAGAATCAAATACGGAACCTTCTTGAGCACGAAGCAGGGGAGCATATCGAGACTAGTAAAGGCTTGTGGCCTGACAGCGGAAATCAAGATACTCGGAGGCGCCATGCCATGCCGGAAATCAATGAAGATGATGACTGCATTGAAGATGATATGTCTTCTAGTGACATGGAAGATACGGAGGATAGTGCTGACGAGCATAATTATGGAACGAGTGATGCAAATATTAATAGCCTCTCTTATGGAAAACAGCAATGGTGACGAAGAAAAATCTGAAAGCTTTGAAGAATTTGGCCATACCAGCAACAATAGCCCACAAAAAAAGTGCTATCAAGACCATGCAGCCAGATTTCGAGGGCCAAGACAGCAGCGCGATGCCGGATCAAATTATCAAGCTACTGCTTCAGCTGAGCCTGACGCTGATGACGGAGAGATTCGCAGATGGCCAGCCAAGCTCGACGTTGTTGCTTTGTTTCAGCGGTATTCTGGGATTTATAGCTCGTGGTGAGGGCTATAACCCAGCGAAACAGTGTACGATGTCTTTATTAGGGCTTATTTTTTATTTAATGGTTGCTATTTCTAGAATATGCATTACCGCTATATTTGTACCTTAGCATTGGAATACCTTAGCGTCCGCGATTTGGATAGCATGAACGGCTTGAGCTCATACGAGAAGAATATGTCATTACAGGATCTCATTCCCCTTTTAATGAAGCCTGCGAAACTTTGGCCGTGTCATTGCGCGTACTGATCCGCCCTTGTTTCTTCTGCGCTGGAGCGATGATGGCACTACTGTTTCTTATGGAGATAGTTTCTATCTTTCTATGAATTGCTTTAGATGGCTTGCTGACTACTTTATCACTGAAGCTGAAAGAGCTTTGCTTGAGCTTGATGCTTGGTTTAAGCCCGAATACTGATTTAGTTAAGGCTAAAGACGATTTGACAAACGGATGGCCCGGTTACTTATTTACCCGGCATCCTGATAATGTAATAGATTAATTATACCTTGATCTAGTAGCGGAAGCATGCAAGACTTGTGTGTTATCTAATCGCGGCTAATGGAACTGGGCGGCTATATCCTCTTATTGGGAAAGGGCCATGAATCTTTAGGAGATGTTGCTAGGTGCATTTTATACCGCCTGCGGACAAGTACCGCGAGCAGAAGATCTCCTCACGGTAGATTGCGAGAACGGCGACTTTACTAAGTGCGGCATTTATATTTAGAATGGGTCTATGGGATATATCATGCAGACGCACAAGGCCAAAAGAAGCACAAACCGGGAATTTTACATAGTCCGATTCTTACCAGTGCGGCTAGGCCGGGTCACTTACTTGTACCTTGTTTAGATGCGGAGATTTGCAGCCCTGCTACGACGCGAGCAGCTTCGGTGTTTAGCAGACGATTTAAATGAGAGACCCCAAAGCCATCGACTGTTTTACACCAATGGACAGCCTTAGGAGCCGAACCGCCTAACTTGGTACTAAAAAAAGCAACTATAACAGCATGGGGACGCGCAATTAATATCCAAGTATACCGATAAATTATAATTACCTTTTAACTAATATGATGATCGTGGCTCTGAAGCAGATCTAAATGCTATTTTTGCCTGGCAAAGCGGGCACCGCCCACTGCAACGTGGTATTACGTACGGGCTCGACGACGCCTACCCATCCCGTCTGCAGCCATCTCTTCTATGTGCCTATGGGTGGGCATCATTTCGATGGCATGAATTTCTTCATCTTGCAAGCAAGATTGCGCCATGCCCATCGCCACAATTGTCAGAAATGAACGACCAAGCATTAGAAAAAACCCGTTACGGATCTATGGGCTGACCACCTACCCGGCCAGGCTATACTACGGCGTTGAGATCAAACTCATCCTCTAACGCAGTGGGTAACATAATGCGCGGTACCTCTTCGACCCGCGCCATGCCGACCTACCGCTCAATCATATGATGTGTATACTTCATTAATAAAAAAAAAAAACTAAATAAACAAACAAACCACCGAAGAGCATGACTCCTAACTTAGCCCCAGTTCTCTATGCCCGCTACCATCGCCGTATTGAAGTAGGCTATGGATATTTCATGACTGCGTCTCTGGGGCGTAGTGGAGCACAGGCAGGTGATTCGTGCGACAACCACCAGGGTCTGCAACGAGAGCCGCCACACGGGCCCCACCTCGGTCTTCCGCAGCGGAGACGGACTCTTTTGCTGAATACGGTAATTCCTCAAACATGCTGCAGGAGCGGTTCACGTACTGTTGTCCAAGGAGTGTCTGCCACGTTCCTTAGGTGTATAGGATAGCTCACCTGACTAGCAATGACACGCTCATTCTGCCTGTTTATGCGCACAATAGCCGCACAGACCGTATTAGTTATTTGGCATCTCGATGCATGGGTTAGCGCCCTGGTTACTGACTCGTTATATTCCGCTGATCTGAAAGAGCGGCATAGAAGAATCTTGACCGTATATTACTTCTGCAAAAGGCCCTAGTAATTATATTAAGTAGTTAGTAAAGTGGTTTTAAGGGCAAGCTTATTGCTATGTTAATAACTGGATATGTAAGCTATTTAATGAGTGTAGTGAAGTGAACTTATATATGTAAAAGTATTAGCGGAGTGTATTGTAAATAGATAACTATATAAAGACTAAATTCATCTTCAAGTTCCATTATTTCTATTAGGGGTTTATAACATAAGCATAGAGTTAGCAGTTAATTTAGATATAATTTTGCACCTAGTTATACTGGTACTATCATCGGGCCGAAGTAATTAACAGTGCATAGATACCGACAGCGGCCACTTACAAGGATTATGAATAATATGTTTGTTTGTTTGTTTTATTATTAACATCCACTAAGTAAGCTAGTTACATAAATCCCTGCTGGGCAATAGGATGGTAGGAGCCACAGGTTCAGAGTCCGCATTCGCTACATGTCAAGAGAACAAAAGAAAGTTTCTGTGTCAATCTGTGTCCTGGGGGGCAGGGCCGTAGGGGCTCGTGTCCTCCACTAGTGTCTGAAAGTGTTTGTATCCATCAGGGCCTAGCAAGTAGGTGAGGGGTGTGATGCCCATCCGGAGGTCCTTTTCGGAGACTTCCGGTAGGAAGGGTCGGACCTTTCTGCATTCCACGAAATGGCCTCGTGTCCTTGGCTCACCGCACTTGCAGGTGGGCCTGGTGTCGTGTCCGAAGCGCTCGTGGTATTCTACGAAGTCCCCATGTCCCGTTCTTTCCGCGTACAGCCTGTGAAGGATCGCCCTTGGCAGCTGTAGTTCCGGTGGTTTGGGGGGGGCGTCGAGACGCCAACGTCTGTAGTATTGCGGGCGGTTCCTGTCCCAGTCTAGCTCCCGGAGCAGTTTCCTCTCGCTTCTAGCCCATCGCTTGATGTGGGTTATCATGGCTGTTCTGGTGGGTGGTTTCGAAAGCTCTGACCCTCCCTTAGGATTATGAATAATAGCCACAGGATATAAATCCAGCTGATTGGCCACTTTTAGTATTATTGGGCAAGCCCGAATACTCCGAAGTTTCGGTGTTTTGCGGCAAGGGGTAGCAGCAAAAGTTCCAACGACGCATTTCTCCTTTATCATACTACCCAATCTTAGGGATTAGCAATAACACATAATAAATCTACACGTCTTTCCGCAGGCTGCGGCTAGCATTTACTTTATTAAGCCTAACCTCTTTATAGTGCTGCTTTATAGCCGAATGGATTTTCCGAAAACGCTGCGATTTTTATCAGCCTTTATATAATACATCCGAAAACATTGGCTATTATAACTAAACAAGGGTCTACTGTATCACAGAGACTGCTCCAGATATGTTATAGTGATACACTTTCCCCAAACGTCTGCCAATATCTTTAGTGGAGCTTTCCTTCTATCTGTTCGCGTGGGATTCGTACGCATAATAAAACTTACTCCACCCTCTGTGCTATCTGGTGTAGGTATAATGCCTGGAGTGTCTCGGATGCTCTAGAACAAAAGGTTCGCCGATGCGGTGCCATAGTTAATTCCTATTGAATCTCTGCAGCAAATAGGCCATCCCACAACTAGCTACACTACTTTGTCGATTAGGTGGCGCTGCTCACATCGCTATAAGTTGATTGCTATTCTGGGTTCGTTAGCATTCTGCGAAGTTATTGTTGAGAGACTAGAAGGCATGATCCGTGCGGTCCCAGTGAAGCTGAAATATACAGTTGATATGTCTAAAAACCGTACTGAAATGGCATTTTACGTCCTATGTTATTATATCGTATTCTCTTCATAATTACAATTGTCTTTAATACCTCCGGCTATAGAGAAATTGCTTGAATTTCTCTCCTTTATCAACCCTTTAAATTTCTTAAGGATCTAATCCTATCTAGGGTATATGTAGGGAGAATTTAATACTGTACCTCTAGCTATAATGTAATCGCTTGATTGACACTATAAGAATACGGTTCGTCACATATCGGCAATTCGGCAGTGCGAACGGGGCCCAGTTGTAAGCTTATTGTGGATAATCAAAGGAATTTGCACATGGACTTCCAAAAAGGATATTAGTTAAGCTTGCTCAGTGTAAGAAAGTAAAATATAAAAAGCAATATAAATCTGTCTTTAAGGCCTTATTTTGTCTTTTATCCATCAGATTTACCAATTCATTAATCTGCCTGACATTTTTTATATAACTATTAAGTGAAAACTGTAATAGTTATAACTTTTTTTTTTTTTGTTTTTTAAAGCTACAATGTCAAAACTTCTCCCTGCAATCTTTGCGATACTTACTGTAGCTTCTGCAGCTACAGTTCAGGAAACTCAGCTTGGAACATTCGGTGACAAGGGGAAACTTTATATTAAACCGGCACCACCTCCTGCGGCCTATGTCAATGGCACCCATACCAACAGTGTATTACGGGAAGACTTCTCAGTGACCAACTTCCAGTGTGTCCCCCCTGGATCGAATGGCCCAGCATCGGGAGACGACTGTGCGGAAATCTACAGAGAATTACTCAACATTTCTGGCCAATCATACACTATTCCACCGCTTGAGATTCTTACATTCGAGTATATTAGCTGCGCCGTGGGCATCTTGAACCGCGACGTTTGCGGTGATATTCATTTCACTGCCGGCGAATTGGCACCTTTTGTCAACACAATGCTACAGTGTCCTTACAACTATGGTGCTGATGGCGTGATTGAAGGTGAAGATCCTCCGGTCATGATTGTCATGACCGGACTGGACGAGGATCTTCCAAGCTATACTGCAGACGGCAACTGTAATGATGCTCATGATGAGCTTAAGAGGAGCCAGGCGTGATTTAAGATAAAGATTTCAAGGCAGATCTTTATTAATTAAAGAGATTAAGCGTCACGACCTAAACCTCTATGATTGCGACAATGGCTCTACAGAGTAGGCAAAACCGCATTAACTATGGACTGAACTACCAATCAAAGGCACTCTCATAAGAAAGCTAAGAAAGCAGCTTTCCATCATAATCCAATATAACCAATTGGATATATGAGTTTACATTCTTTACACTCATTTCAAATAGCTTAAATAACGAATTGTTATTATAGCATTTACAATATAATTAAATTAAAGTATAAAGATTTTTTTTTTTATTAGTATTATAACTTGATCTATAAAGCTAGCCGCCATCTGTAAAAGAGCCCATGTAGAAAGCAATTGCAGCTTCATAGTAAAAAAAGTACGCTATTAATAAAGAGGGGATAGAAAGCAATTAGATTTCAGTGTAGAAAGCAATTAGGTTCCCGGCTGGTAAAATGGCCAAACTGCATATGCTGTAAAAGCAACAACGGGCATCCCGTTTATTCATTTATTTAGCCATCAGCTCAGTTTATTAATGTTGTTTATTGGATTGTAGTTTGCAATACAACCGGCCATGACTGGTCCAAAGTGGGTTTGTTGGATGAGTAAGCAAGTGTATTGCACCATGTAAAAAATAAAAAGCAAGCAAGCAAGCAAGCCACAGGTCAGATGCAGCTAAGCGAAGCAATGCCTTCTAGAATTTAAATATAAATATATTTCCTTTACCTGTAACCTATTTATTAATCCGCCCATTGTTCAGTTGCAACAACACGCTGATTACTTGTAAACTGCCTAAACCATGTAAAGTTAAACAACGCGACCTAAAACAACCATCTTTATTGGCTAACTCTAACCCCAAAGTGGGGACCGACAGCTTAGGGTAAGGCTAGCGCGAATCATCTGGATATCACAACCTCTTCGTTGCTAAAGGCATTCATTCTACTAGAGCTCTTGCGATATATTTCGCTAGATCTTTAGTGAAATACGCCTTTATATCTCTTTATTAATATAAATTAATACCTGCCATTTATTATTTATGGCGGTTAGTAGACGGCAATTAATTTTATATAGTAGAATTTTAGGCGCTAGCAGGACAAAGAGTAACCGGCAATTATTATACCCCAGGGGCCCGACTCGTTAAGGTAGGGTTAGGCATTTATATTCTGTCTCCGGAGACAGATGCATTGGCTGTGCTTAAGCCATCTATATTAAAATTTCTCTGTCTCCGGAGATAGATCTGTTAGCTGCACGTAAATTAGTTATGTGAGTTCTTTATCTCAGGAGACAGACCTGTTGGCTGCACGTAAAATGGCTGTGCTGGCTCTCTGTCTCCGGAGACAGATGTATTGGCTGCATGTAAAAT